TGTGTGTGTGTGTGTGTGTGAGAGTGAGAGAAAGATTATTGTTCTATTTTGGTTTTCTCCATTCAGGTACTATGCAGGTCAATACTGGGACATGCCGGACACCTGGTGGTTCGCCTCGGCCGCTCTCAATGGCCAAGCCCCCTCTCAGATGGCAGCCCTCCCCGTCTTCATGGACTAACCTCCTGACCTTTTCATCCAGGTCGCAGGTCTCGTTGGGACTGACCACAGCAGATAACCGTCGAGAGTCAAGATAGTGAGAGTGTGGTGGGTGGTTTCCTGTTATCATTCCTGCTGACCCAACGATTATTTTGAGAATTCCATCCCTAGTTTTTCAGTTAAAATAGTGTGAAGGAAAGAAATCAGTTTGATGATGAATCATGTATGTTGTGGGCTGTTCTCGTTGCAAGTCTGACTTGATTTCCTTCTTTTTATGTTTACATTTTGTACTTTGAACTTGGAATGAGTTCCTGGGCATAAAACATGCCAATTGAAGTATTGGCTGTCTTAGTCAGTTTGCCCCTGGCAAATTACAGAATAAAATTGCAGGCATTGAGGAATCCCCAGTAACAGTAAAATATCACGAAAGTGCTTTTTTAAAACTGTACGCTTCAGGGAACACAAAGCTTTGCGAGCTTACTTTTGCCCACAAAAAAAAACAACAACAACAACAAACAAACAAGAAAAAAAAATTACAAAAAATCTTGAGGACCGTAATATGGCAGTACCGTAAAAAAAATAATTGGTGCCTTGAGAAGTTGCGTCTCCTTCTCACAGGACTATTACCTTCCCTGTCAGAGGGTTCTTTTTTTTTTTACCTCCCAATATCAGGTCACTTATTTTGGAAAAATAAAATTGTATTTTTTAAACAGACATCAGTGTTTCTCAGCATTTCTTATTCGTACTCTCTTTTCAATAGTCTGCATGCCATAGAGGCCTACCTCGTAGCCTACATAATGACCAAAGCACTTGGAGAAAGTGAGTTTGAGTTCATTTTGATTGGTTTAAAAATGTTTTTAGAGTCTCTCGTCCCCAAATACACAAGGGCAGCAAGTAAAGAATCTCTTCCCTCGAAAAGGGTGCATCACGCATTCCTGCAAGATTCTATATTATTATATGTGTGTGCGTGTGTGTGTGCGTGCATGTGTGTGGGTGTAAGGAGGTTTGTATGTGTGTGTGTGAGTGGGCGTGTGTGTGTGTGTGTGTGTGTGTGTATGTGAGAGAGTGTGTGTGTGTGTGCGTGTGTGAAAGAGAGAAAGAGAGAGAGAGAAAGAGAGGGAGATCAAAAGAGAGAGAGAGAAACATTGTTCTCTCTCTCTCTCTTTCTCTCTCTCTTTCTCTCTCCCTCCCTTTCTCTCTCTTCCCCTACCTCCCCTGCTCAGCGCACACACAAAATGTATAACATTAAAATCTATAAAGACCAGGACTCAGGCTTACGCTATTTCGTGTCAAAAGTTGTCTTCAAAACAACCCCATCTAAAATTTCCCTTTCTGTTTCATATAAAACTAGTTTCATAATGGCACTAAATTCTGCCACTCAAACAAGTCCTGCTAAGTACAGACAAATACATAAAAAACATAAAAATGATTAATACAACGCAACATCCTTCACTGTAGAATTTAATCAAATAAATGAAGGTCTTTTTAGTCATCACAAGCGTATTATGATATCAAATCAGCAAAAGCTAAGCAGTATTGGTTAAAATATCACATATATATATATATATGTATTATTACACCGGGTCTGAGGTCTAATATGGTCCGACTGGCGATTATTTGTATAAAGAGACAGATGATTTATTGTTACCTACATTGAAGATCAACATTTTTTTCAGGAAAACAATTCTTACTTTTTGAATGAAGACTTTTATACACAAATATTATCCAAACATATGCTCATAAAAGATCTTTGTCACGGACAAAGCACTATCATATCACATTAAAAAAAGCAAATATAATCATGGGCACAGAACAAAAATGTACATGAATACATACAGTCGAACCTCCTCTAGATGCACTCACATACATACAACAAGACAGGACATTATTAAGGAAGGAACATCTCTCTCTCTCTCTCTCTCTCTCTCTCTCTCTCTCTCTCTCTCTCTCTCTCTCTCTCTCTCTCTG